ACTGGTACCGATCAGTCAGTCTTGATAAAGAGGAAGGTCATGGATGTATCATATACTGAGGACCTAAAACACCATCGGCCCTCCACATACACCGGTTGCCTCTTTTAGTCCAAGGGAGACAGTAACATCCAAGTTCTACATATTAGGAAATTAGAATTCTGAATTAGGGCTGGAGAGAGGTTACGGAGGAGAATGTTCTAGGCTTGCTGAAGGAGAGGGAGAGGAGAGGAAGAGTTTGAGGATGTCCGGTGGTGCTCATTGAAGCCTCTCCCCGCAGAGGTAGTCCTGGAGGTCCAAACGGGGCTGCGGGACCTTCCAGGCCTGCTGCCACTGACTGCAGGAGCCAGAACGCACCCCCAGGTCCACCTGACCCGAACCCTGCTCTCTTTCCTCTGGCGATGAGACGGGCCCTGGCCCTGAGCCCTACCAGCAGGCCAGGTTCCCTTCCACACTCTCACCCTGTTCCCTAGAGGTTAAGGTCAGGGAGCAGGGGCAAGAGGGCAATGCATTGCTCAAGGAGCAAAATGAGGTCCTAAAAGCCCCTGGTCCTGAGGACAGGGGCTCAGGACCCTCCGCCCTGAGATTGGAGAGGGGCAGCGGGGCAGATGGGGTGGGCAACAGAGCCCGAGAGGATGTATAGGGCATGTCTCAGCCGGGTTGCCGGAGCAGGATTCCCTAGGCTGGGGGGTGGGGCTCAAACAACAGATATTCATTTCTCACACCTCTGGAGGCTGGAAGGCCAAGATCAATGCCAACTGATTAGGAATCTGGGGAGGACTCTCTTCCAGGCTTGCAGGTGGTCGCCTTCTCTGTCTGTCCTCACCAGGCCTTTGTGGAAGGAGGGAGGGATCTGACTTTCTCTTCCTCTTCTCATAGGGCCACCAATCCTACCGGATTAAGGCCCCACCCTTCCGAACTCATTTAATATCCTTCTCCCTCTAAAAGCCCTGACAGGTGCGTACGGGGGTGGGGGGTAGTGCTTCAATGTATGGCTTTGTGGGGGACACGCTTCAGTCCCTCGCAGGGCAGTTGCCCTAGGAGAAGACACACTCTAGTTTGTCGTGACCCCCTGGAACCTATAAGGATGAAGAGGGAAGAGGATCCATCCTCATGTGCCTCTGAGTCGCACTTCCTGGGTGACCCATGGGGCCTGAACACAGGGGGCCCTCAGATGTAAGCAAGATGCCCTAATGGCCCCATGTCCCCATTTCTGACGCATCCACTGACTCAAGGCCGAATCCAGTGACTCTTTCCAGCACATTCTCTGCCTGCTTCCTCTGCTTTGAGCTTCTGGGGTCAGGGGAAGGGCAGGCCGCCACAGGTGCCACCTCCAGCCGAAAGGAACCTCGCCCACCCCCTTCCGGCTGCCACACTTCTCCCCTCTGTCCTTATAAGTGAAACCGTGACGGAGCCAGAAGAGGACGTGGAACACCCGCTTCCTCAAATGCCGCGGAGCCGGCGTTTGAAAGAACCGCCCTGGTAGGGCACGCCCTCAAGGGTATCGCAGCCCTTCAAGTGCACTTTTTGGAATAGTATCTTTTCCAAAGCCTGTGTGGGCTCAGCACAGCGACACTGAGTCTGGCTTTTAGACCCGGCTGTCACCGATTCCGGTGTGTGACCCTGGACATTTCACATCTCTAAGCATCAGTGTTCTTATCCGTAAAACAGGGGAATGATTTCAAGAATGGCAGAGATGACACATGTCAAAGCGCTTCAAAAATAACATTAGACCACTAAGTCAGATATTATTATTATTAAGAACAATCAATCACTCCCGCCTTTAAGGTTCTGCTGTCATTGTATGGAAGACAAATTGCGCACAATACAAATTGTATATAGCATTGTTCCCACTATGTGTCAAATTGTTCCCCCGTGAAGATGCTGAAGGCCTAATCCTGGTACCTATGACGGAGTAACCGTATTTGGAAACGGGGTGTGTACGGATGGTCCAGTTAGGAAGAGGTCGCTGGGCGGTGAGGGGTAGGCTCTAACACACTACAACTGGTGGCCTTACAAAAAGGGGGCATTGGGACAGAGACCGACACATGCAGAGCGCAGACAGTGTGAGGACACAGGATGGAGACAGCCATCAGCAAGCCAGGAAACACCGGAGGTGACTGAAGCTAGGGGAAGGGCCTGCAACGGACTCTTCCTTCTAGTCCTCGGAGGGAACCGACCCTGCCGACACCTTGATCTTGGACTTCCAGCCTCTGGAACCTGAGATAAATACATGTTTGTCATTCAAGCCCCCGAGCCTGTGGTACTTTGTTACAGCAGCTCCGGGAAACTAAAGGGCACTGTACCCTGACATGGCTTTCTTACTCGCTCTAGTTTATTAAATGCCAAGATACTTAATGAGTAACCCCAGCATGCGCTCCCTCCACGGAGCTTCTGTGCGGGGTCTGCAGTCCCGACCCTGAAGGTGCGGTAGACACAAGAAGAGAGCAGGTGGTGTCTCACCCAAGGGAGACACTCGTCCTCTTCAAAGTTCCGAGAAGGGAGAGGTACGTGTGAGCTGAGAGGCTGGGGGCGAGTGGAGTGTCGAGCTGAGCCTGGAGGGGTCAGGTGGGTTCCTGGTTGCCGGGGAGAGAGAGGCAGCCTGGCCAGGTGAGAGAACAGCCCCGTGCCTGGTGCAGAGATTGGTGGGAGCAGCAGAGGCCATAGTACCGGCTCAGTCTGCTGCTTCCTTGCCAAGCTCCCTCACTATCCACCCTGCCTGCGTCCACCATGCCTTCTTTCCTCCTTGGCTTTTGAAAAAAATTTTCACCAGAGGACATGCTTATTGATTTTCTAGAGAGGGGAAGGGTGGGAGAGAAACACTGATTCGAGAGAGAAACATTGATTGGTTGCCTCTCATTTGAGCACCAACTGGGAACTGAGCCCGCAACCCAGGCGTGTGCCCTGATGGGGAATCAAATCCGCGACCCTTCAGTTTACAGGATGACATTCCAACCAACTGAGCCGCACTGGCCAGGGCCTTTGTGGCCCTGTGAGCCATTTCTGGCCCTCTTCCCATGAGCCGGGTTTGCAGCTGGTCAGAGCTCAGGCCCCAGTGACCGTAATCACAAGCTCTGTGTGGACACCCGTGGCCGTGGCACTGCGTGTGGAAGGAGGGGGCCCATTTCTGTAGCGGAGACATCATGAGGTGCTCACCAAAGTGGCTGTTAGCTCCTGGGCGTTAAGACGACTGCAGTTCCCAGACCCCCTGCATCCAGGGACCCTGTGGCCAGTTCCAGTCTGTGAATTCCAGCAGGGGTGATGTGTGCCCCCTTTAGGTCTAGCTCCTTGTGACCCTTGAAAATGAGAGACAAGGCTTAAGATCTCCTCTTGGAGATGGCTGGAAGTAGAGGGACCAGCGGAAGTTCGGGAGCCCCGAAGGAGCGAAATCTCTATATGGAAGATGCCGGGACTCCTCAGCACCTGTGTGGAGTCTATCCCACAGCCGCCAAACTGCCCCAAAGTGGGGTTGGATATGTGACCACAGCAGAATGTAGCTACCCCTGCCAACCCAGTAACTGCAGCCACCTGGCCGATGGGCCCCGTCTGGGCACTGACGGAGGGTGCTGGGTTGGAACACCCTGGAACGCTCCCTTGGCCTGGATATACTACAGGAAGCCTCCATGACGACCTCGGCCGCTGGTCTCTGCTGAGAAGGGAAGATGGCAGCCCAGCGCCAGAGCAGGCTCTGCAGGGCAGGCATCGTGGCCATTGTCCCCGGGGGTGCCCCGTCCGTATTTCCTGGTCCTTGATGCTCACAGCAGGGCCAGCAGCAGACTGGCTCATCCTGGGGGTCCTGCCCTCTGCCTGAGGAGACGGGTCTGGGCGCGGACCACCTGGCTGCCAGGCCCCCCACCAGATGCCCGAGGAAAGCCACCCACCACTGTTTCTCTCCGCTGCCTCCTGGGTAGTGGGAGTTCACACGCTGTGTTTTTATGGAGGAGGGTTTGAGTTTTTCCCTAGATGTGCTAGCAAGACAGTTTGTCTCAGCCTAACACTAAGGCCCAGCTCCACATTTATGGCTGTTTCTGTGGTTACCTTTCTTCAGGGATGTTTGGGGTGGGCGGTGGAGGTAGTGGTGGGTGTGGGTGTGTAATAGCTCTTCCAAGGCCCCAATTTTCCGGAGCTCCTGGCAAGATGTCCCTGATTCCTGTCCTCTGACGCAGGTGCCATGGGCAGGCGGGTAGAGGAAGTCCGCCAGGAACACCGTCTGCCTCTCCCTGAGACCCAGGGGTCCACCTGTCCCTGGGGCTGACATATCAACCAAGTCCCTTCCTCTGCAGAGACTGAAGACCCACAGTGCGTCAGGGAGGGAAGGGCCTGGAGCCCGGTCCTCCTGTGGTCCATTTTACGGGAGGGGAGCCGAGTCCTGGGTGCCCCCCCCGCGCAGCCTGCCCCAAGATCCCGGAGGTAGCACTGTCAACTAGAGCCCCAGCCGGTCTCCCTGCTCCAGGCCCCGGGCTTTTGGCCTGCAGGAGGCGCGGGAAGGTTGGTGGTATCTGCTCCTGGGACGAACAGCAGGGGATGGGGGTGTGGGGGTAGCCAGAGAGGCCTGGCCGGTGTCCTGGGGCGACTCGGCCTCTTCCCCTTCTGGGCCATCGGAGCTGCACTTCCTGCAGAGACCTCGGGAGGCGGGGGATCTGGCGCAGGGCCGGCTCTTCTTGGGCGCCGCCTCCCGGCTTCTCCCACACCCGCGGGCCAGAGGCCAAAGGTTTCGGAGGCGGAAGCAGGACTCCCCTCACCCGAAATGCAGGCGGGGCTCGGACTGGGTTGGGGTGCGGCTCCGCCGAGAATGCGCCTAAAGGAACTAGGGCGCAGGTGTGGAAAGGTGCAGGGGTCCGGCACCAGGGGACCAGCTGGGGCGTGGCCGAAGCGAGGGCCCGGGCGGGGCTAGTATGGAGGCGTGGTTGAGGCGGGGGGGGGGGCAGGTCCACAGGAAACTTGAGCGCCCGCCTCGGGCCGCGGGCCCCGCCCCCGGCCCCCTCCGGGCCCCGCCTTCGCGGTCCCTTCCTTCCCGGGGCGGGCAGACGGGCCTCTGCGTCTGCAGGCGGCGGACGGGCGGACGGGGCTCGCTCCCTCCCTCGCTGACGGCTTCCTTTTGTTTTTCTGGACGGCGATGAACGCAGGGCCGGTGCAGCGGCTGCGGGCGCAAGGAGGCCGGCGCTCCTAGCCACCCTTCCCGGTCTGGTCTCGTCGCACTCATCCTAGGCAGCGGCCAGCGCCTGCCTCAGCGCGGCAGCGCCGAACTTGGGGATCTGGAAGCCCGCGGACTGCGTCCTCCGCTGGATCAGGTAGGGAAGGGGCGGGCTACGGGGCTGCGGGAGTGCGGGCGTGTGCCCTGGCGTCCACTGTGACCAGGCTTTCTCGGTGTGTGTGCGTGTGCGCGCGCGTACACTGCATGTGTGTGTGTGTGTGTGTGTGTGTGTGTGTGTGTGTTGGGGGGGTGCCTGTGTTTCTCTGTGTGCTGGAGTTGTGGGTAACAGGACGCTGGTGTATCCCCGGAATGGCGTGTCCTCGTGCGGATCTGTGTGTGCACATTTTGGGCTACGTTTGTGGAATCGTGTGTCAGGGACAGTTGCTGGTGGGGACTGGTGCCGGGCGGGTGTGCAGTGCGAACAGCTCTGTGTGGGGCGGGAGTGGCGGGGTGGACGTGGGCGGTCCAGCTCGATGCTCTGAGCCCTGTCCCTGCCGGCCCGTGCAGTGCAGAGCTCCGGAGCCCGCGGAGACAGCTGGGATCCCCAGGGGTTGGCGCGGGCCTCTGAGGCAGCTTGTACTAGCCCCGCCGGGAGGCAGGTCCACGCGGCCCACGTGGGTCATCTTTGCGCTCTGACCAGGGGAGGGTGCATGTCGGCCATCCGCTTCCTTCTTCCCTGGCGGAGGGGCGGCGGACAGAGCCCTGTTCCCTACTTAGGAACCCTAGTGTCTCGGGGACCTGCACTGCGACCTGGGTCAGACACTCCACCACACCCCACCTTTCTGGGTTGCAAATTGCTTCTCAACCAAATGGGGACAGTTCCTCCCTCGGGGTCTGTCGTGACAGTTAAAATGAGAACGTACTCAGATCTGGTGCGTAGTAGATGCTACGTTCATTGGGCTCTCTTTTTAAAACAAAATCTTTTCTCTTCCTTATCGCGGGTGGGGCGCTTACATTTCCCCTTCTGCTCGTGTTTTGTGCCTCTTTCATGGCCTTAACTTAACCGCGAAGCACCGAGATTCGAGAAAGTTTCAGCAGGTAGGCGCCGCCTCCTCCTGGTCGTAGCACCTCCCGACAGTGCCGCCTCGGGTGTGCAGGAACGCGCAGCACGGCTCCCGGCCAGTCTCCGGCCACGAAGGCTCCGGCGCCCGAGCAGGGGCCCTGCTTCTGGCAGCTGCCAGGGTACGGAGCCCTTTTGTTCAACAAGTGCCTAGTGCGTGCAGCTCCTGGAATCTGACAGCCATGGCATGAAAGTGGCGCTCCGGGCAGGGCCGGATCTCGGGCTCTGGGCGCATCCTGGCTGGGCCTGGTTCCCCCTGGAGGAGAGTGTTTGCCAGTACGCCAACGAGTCCTGCCTTGGGCCTCCCCTCAACCCACTCCCTTTGATTAGGCTCATGCAGGAGGCCAAAGGCCGTGTGGGATTCTGCATCCTAGTGCGACACCTTAATTTTAAAAATATTTAGTTTGGAAACCTGCTACTGGTAACATTGCACCGCACAGTGAGCGAACCCACTGCCCTGACCGCGATCCAATGCGCTCCCAGGGAGAGCTCTGCCAACAGAGCCAAGGGCTTGCTCAGACCCCGCCAGGCCATCTGGCAGCCGCCTTCTGCCAGGGCCACCGACTCCTTCCCTCCGGCTCCCCGGTTTCTTCTCCTCAGGACCCTGCCCAGTCTGAACAACAAATGACCTCTCCCCAAGGGAGCAGCCAACCTTACCACGCAGGAGACTCTCGAAATGGGGCTGGGTTGGCTGGGCAGGGGTGAGGGGAGCGTGAGGGGCTGCCTCTGGCTCCCCGCTGCGTTTCCCAGAGGCCGGTGCCCTGCTGGCGCTCTCAGGGAAGCCGGAATGCGCTGCGGGCTTTCATGGCCCAGCTGCAGAAAGCTCTGGTTTGGTTCCTGTGGTTTGTTTTCCACCTCAGCCATGATGGCGAGGTGGGAGGAAAGATATAAGCAAAGTTTTCGCCCTTCTTGATGCCAGCGGCATACCAGGATGCAGCGTGTTTCGTAAAATGACTTTATATCCTGGAAGAGAAGGGGCTTTTGAATCCTGCTCCCTTCCCCATAATCATATTCCATAGTAACATTAAAAAAAATCTGGCTTTCTTAGAAGAGAGACCAAGAGCTGGGTTATTTTCCCCCTAGCTACGGCCAGCCCTTGGTCTCCAGCAAACCGGTGTTTTGGCCGTAGCTCTATTTCTGTTTCACTTTTGAAAGGGCCTCTAATCACTGAGGTCTTGAGGTTCTATTGAATGAATAATGCGCCAGAGAGAAGGCCCAGGGGCCTCCCACTCGCAGTGGGAGGTGGGGCTGGGCTCTAGCCCTGCCTGCCCCCTTGACATTCCACTTTACGCTTTCTGTAAGGTGGGGGACAGATGTCAGCATGTGGCAGTAATTTGGGAGACTTGGCGTCGGGAATCAGATGCCCGGAAGGTCATTTGACTTGAGAAACAGAGATTTGCCCAAACTGTAGCCAACGATCCATTCATTCCCCATAGTCCCTCCTAGGGAGAGACTCTTAAGAGAAGTAACAGCTCGGACAGATTGCTGCAGAATTTATCTAAATGCCCTCTTCTGGTCAAGGGACTGTGCCAAATGAGAGCTCAGGAGGGACCAGGAGTGCCCCCCACACACACACACCTGGGTGCATTCCTACCTGGCACTACTGTGCAGTTTCATCCAGGTGAAGCAGTGGGTGCACCCCGTCCCAGGGCTGCACCCCTGCCTCCGGGGCCTCGCACACGCAGTTCTGAGGGTTGCCATTCCCGTGAAATACCATATGGAGTGCTTGGCATCCAGGCAGCCCGTCTCTCGTTACTCCTGTGGTCCTTCCCCAACACTTATTCTGAGACCTCGTCTTGCCACTCCTAAGTGATAAAGTGCCGAATTCACAGCACCCATTTACGAACCAGTGATAATCCAGGATACTCATAAGAAGCCTCAGAGTTTATTTGGCACCGAAGAGTAAGCTACTTGGCAGCTGACTTGTTACTGAGATAAGGATCAGGTTTGTATTAGAACTTAGCATTCCAGCCAGTCCTAAATCACACTTGTTTGTTGTCGGATAATGCTACCAATTTATGAGCTGCCAGCCCAGACTTGATGGAGGATTATGTGTCATTTGCTAGTTTGTAGCTCGTGATGTCATTGCGCTTGGGAAGGAGGGCACTGGAGACGCTAACCGTGCTCTCCTGGGATTGACCACTCACCACCCTCTCACTGGGTTTCTTTAGGGTTTTCATGTCCACGCGTAAGGCTGCCCCTCATGTGGCCCTTTGGGTTGAGTTCCCCACCATATAATGGGGACCATGAAGCAGGCTTAGGGGTTCTCTCAGTGCCGCTTGCCCCTTGGGAAAAAATGGTTTCTTTCAAATCACTTTCCACCAAAACAACAACAGAAAAACAGGTTGGAAGCCAATGGAAGGGGGTTTAATGTAACTAGGTAATCGATACTGTTTGGCAGGTGGACCATTTCTTAGGCACTGGTGAGCAAGGTGTAAGTCTAAGGAATTTTTTTAATCATCTGAAAAGCACAGTAAATCCTTTACGAGAGCCCTACCTTAGCTTTGTCTTTTCAAGTATAATTGAATTTCTGAGGCAGAGCTTCGTATCTCTGCACTTATGAGGCAGGGCTAACTAGACACCTTCCAAGAGATTGCAGGCTCTCTTCCTGTCGCAGCCCTTCCTTGCCTACACTGGGGCAGCAAAGGGGCCTTCTTGGCGTGCTTTTCATGCCCTTTTATAAGCCAAGTGTACCACCACACTTGCAAACCGGGGCTATGTTTTCCCGGTACGTTTCTTTGAGCATTCACTCCGAAGTGCAGCCCAGGGAGGCAGGAAGCTGGGGGGGAGGGGGGGCCCACTTGTATCAGCCCTCCTGTCTCACTGGATGGGAAGCCCAAGGAGTGAGGGCTGGGTCTCCGACCCTTGGCTGAGAACACCCGGGCTTGTTCAATGTTGACTCCGATCCTGAAGACAGGAGGAAGGCATTGGGGTGCAGGGCTCCCCGCCAGGGAGTCTTCCCCACGGCCTCCACACCCTGCTGCCCTAGCCAGAACCTTCCATTGCTCTGTGTGCCCTGGAGCAAGGGAGGTGCCCCTGTGTTAGGCTCAGTGCTGAGGGCTCAGGTGAGCGATGCAGAGCTGTCCCCACGCTCACCCCCAGCGCAGTCCCCCAGGACACAGCAGAGCAGAGCCCCGAAGTGGCCCCCCAGCTCCGAGACCCTTCTGCAACTCGCAACGCTGGGCGAATCCCATCTACTCGCTCCTTCGCCCTAGCCTGAGCTCTCAGGGGTGTTTCTGTGCTCTTGCCCCTTTTCCTGCCGCCATCTAATGAGCCCGTCCTCTGCTGCCCTGCCCCTCTTGCCCAGCCCTGCTCCTGCGCCGCCTCCTCTTCCAGGAGCGAAGCCTTCTCGCCCTTCACTGCGGTCATGCTGTCGTGTGGTCAGCGTTTGAGTAGGTTTTGTCACCTCACTCAACACCCCTGCCACCTCCCCCTTACCCCCGTCCCCGTTCCATTCTCTTCCTCAGTAAGTAGAGCGGCCGTGTACCTTTTCCTTGGAAAGCTGGGCCCTGGCCTCCCCGCTGCTCAGGTGGGGCTGGCCCGTCCAGCCCGGCAGGTGCTGCAGGGGGTAGGGAGGAGGCCCGCTCCCCCGCTAGGGCCAGGGCCTCCTGGAAGGCCGTAGCCACACCGACACCGGGGACGGATGCAAGTGTCTGGGAGGAGGCCAGACGAAGAAGTCTGGTGGGGAGAGAAGAAAAGCAGGCTCCCCTGCGGCCCCTGCACAGAGGGTTGGTCCTGGACCCGCCTCGGCCCCTCACCTGAGGTCGGAGGCAGTGTCCAGCCGCATCGGGCTCCTCATATGGCTGCAGTAAACCGTGGTGGCTGCTATTGGTTATTTAAATGTTTTTGGTTTTTTTTTTATGGGGAAGTGAAGCAGCATGTCCTCTGTTCCTAAGCATTTCTTTTCAAACTCAGGGAATTTTAGGCATGTTTTGACCCAGACTGTAGTAGCAAGGCATCTGATGTGAGAGTCTGTGAATGTGTGTGTGAAGGCCTGGACGGGAGCCAGGGAGGGGCACCACCTGGAGTCTGGGAGC